GATGTTGGTGTCCCTCGTCACAACCTGGTAGTTTAATACCAGGGCTCAGAGGCAGCTGCCTCCGCCTCTTTGTTCCCAGGCCAGGAGCTGCAGCTCTAGGGAGAAGCACAGAAGCAGCCTCTGCCTTGTCCACCTCGCTATCCTCCCTGAATTCTGTTTCCCTGGTGGGGGGATTGTCCCTAGACCCATCATGAAGACCTACGACATTTGTTTCCAGCCATCAGTAGGACGGAAAAGTAGCTTTAAGTTTCCAAACAATTGCAGCAAACTTTAAATAAGTAGACAATAAGTTCCAGAGACAATGTAAGGAAGAACTGAAGTCTTGTGTGTTTGATTGGTAATGGCTAGTACCCGATAGTGCTAACTGTGTCTGGTATCCTACACACTGTTCCCCCAGCAGCTTAGTCACAGCTGATCGGTGTGCTCTCTCAAAATATGTCAAAAAGACCTCCTCCTTCACGAAGACTGCTCTGTGCAGCTCCGCCTATCTTGGCATGGCTCTCAGTTGACCGTGCTTTTCCATTTTCCCATGTAGAAACTGTTTTCCTGTGATGATCTCTCTACCCATGATGAACTGCTTTTCTCAAGGCCCACTTATGCTTCCATCAGAAGCAGGACCTAGACTGGGTGGGCAGTAGCACTGATCTGATAAGACAGTGTTTTATGTTGTCAGGCTGGTGATAGCACTCACTAACAGTTTAAAACTCCACTTGCATTTACATACAGGTGAATATACTATGCTGTTTCTGTCCAAAATGAAGGAAGGAAGGAAGGAAGGAAGGAGAGAAAGAGGCAGTAGCTTTTATCTCTTTTAGTAACTAAACTGATTTTTCAAGAGCCAGAGGAAAGAACTGCAGGGTGAGTACCCAGAGGGAAATGGAGGCAGGAAGAGGATGTGTGTGGGGAGGCCAGAAACTCTCCCCTAGTGGCATAGTTTCCAGTGTCTTCTTCCACCTCAAGCAGTAGATTGGAGCTGTGAGTACTCATGTTGAAAACTCAGAATTTTTCTAGTCTTTCATTTGAGAAATTACTTAATGACACTGTGCAGTAGAGAGAAATTAGCTGGGCTAGTCTC